GAGGAGACCCCCTCCCTGCCACCTACTGCTGCTTTAGGCCTGGTTATACCTTGTGTCTTATCACTCTGGCAGGGAGGGAAAGTCCCTGCTGTAAAAAAAAAAAAAAAAAAAAAGCCACACCCCACTCATGCTCAGCTTCATCTCTCCTTCCACCACCATTTGTCCTTCGGCATTTGTCCTCCAATCCTAGTCAGTGCACCCTCATATTCCCCAGGAAACTCACATCCTTCAAGAACACTGCACCCTTCTGCTTTCCTTCACCCCAACCCCCTACTCCCTGCAAGCCACCCAGCCTGGCATCTTCCACATGTGTGGCACAGGTGCTGCTCTTGAAGGGCTTTCAAACACTGGTCCTGGTCTGTCTGCACATGATCTCTGGGCACCTCATCACCACGCAGCTTCTCCCACCTTGAAATACGCGCTTCTTTGGGCTCTTATGGTCTGTTTTCTCTTTGCTCCATCAGCCTCACTAGCTCCTCCAGGAGAGTGGGCTCTGTTTCAATCTCCTCTGGTTCCAACAGCCCCTAGTTTCCTTCCTCCTCATCTCTTTCCCAAATACTCCAACAAGGCAGGTCCATGAAATACAGGTGTGTCAGAGCCGTTGTCTTTCAGCTATCCCTAACCTAGTGGCCCATCACAAGATCTCGACAGGCCAGGCAACCAGTCCATCTTGTCATGCCCAGCAGAGTCTTGCTGTCCTCTAATCCAGTCTTTGCTCCCTGAGGCCATACTCAAGTCCTTACTTCTTTCAGGAAAGAAAAAAATGCTTCCCAGTGACTCCATACCTACCCAGAACTCTCTCAGTTTCATGTCTCCTAAAACATGGGGAAAGTCTGCAATGCAGAACTTACTGTATAATTACAGGCATTCTTTAATTGTACATTCATCCCAAGCATTCCCACTATCCCGTCCTTTCCCTCTAACAATGTTTAAGTTCCAGAATTAAGAATTCTACTTCTTATAGCTTATACTAGGTCATACCAGAGATGTCTAAATAATTGTCAAATGACAGAAAACAGCATGACACTTTATATAAAACCCATACACTCTTTTCATTTATCAAACAATCTAAAAGAAAACCAGACTTCACAGGTAAGTGACAATTCCTAATTTATTTATTCTCCTAGAGTCACTGTAAAGGCAAATATGGAAGAGCATGGCTAAGCCTGTAAAACTTTCAACCAAGGAAGTTCTCAGAACTTTCAAAACAATATATTGAATATTTCATATAATACATGGGAAGGTACTAAATAATTTGTTTCCTGCAAAACGATTAAATACAGGTAATTTTTGGTCAGCTCAGATGTAATATTCATAAACAAATGTAATCCCTTAAAGTCCTAGAGGAGAACCTGGGAACAAGCATGGTCAAGCCAACAATTTCTGCTCAACTTCTTTTGATGAATACAGTCCTGGAAGTGAGAGTTGTTTACTCACACCACTGAAAGGGGTAACATCATCCAGCTACAGTAATGTTCCTCACCAAACAGGAACCTGGCCTGTCTTTGTCATCCTCACAACCCGAACCAATTAAATTCCCTGTCTGCAGCAGCATGACAACTCACTGGAAACCTTTGGCCACACACACTGGGGGCCTAGTAACTAAACCAGAGAGTCTGTTATCTTCCAATGTCTCCTTCTTGTGAGCATCCAGGCAATGGACACTTGCTCCCTAGCATTCCAGTGCCACCAACTGCACAGCATCCTGAGTACTGCCTTCTGAGAGTCTTGGCATGGAGGAGTACGCTGACTCCGACTCCCTCACTATGTCCACTACTTTCTTCAGTTGTCTTTATTTTCCCAGAATTGGCTCAAGACCTTTAGACCCTGAGATCACACCAAGCACTAAGGCTTGTTGCTTAGATGTGCATCCCAGTAATAAAACACTTTCCATACTGCTCTAAGATTTATTCAGAAACTGTTCTCCAAATACCTGTGCATCCCTCAAGAAGAAAGTTTATTTTTGCAGTGGTGGAAATCAAATTCAAAACACTGTTCGAGCCAGGCCTATCATGCTCAATCACTGAACTATACCCCACCCCTGATCTTGTTTTTATATTTGTGCTGTAGAGAGATACATGGTGATTCCCCAAAAGAGGCGTTTGTCTAAGCCCTAAATAACTGCCTCTACCTATGTAACTTCATTTGGAAAATAGGTCTTTGCAGGTATAATGAAATAAGGGGCCCTGCCATGAGATGATCCTGACCTTAGAGTGGACCCTAAGTTCAATCTATGTCTGTTCCTTTTGAGATCGAGAGAGAGAGAGCCACCTAATACACAAAGATACAAGGGAAGACAGTCAGGTAGAGTCAGATGAAGAGGTTAGAGTTCTCCAGTCAGGAACTGAAGAGCATCAAAGGCCAAAAGAATCTAGGAAGGAGTCTATCCTAAAGTTTGAGAAACTAACATCTTGCTTTTGGACTTTGGTCTCCTGAACTGAGGGAGAATACATTTACTTCAAGAAGCCAAGTGTGTAGCAATCTGCAGCAGCCTTAGGAAACAAAACAGGCAATCCAAACTCCCACACAACATGTTCCACCAAGGAGCTACTCAAAGCGATGGGCACTGAACTAAGGGAGATGGAGGCAGATGTGGGTCTCTGATGAGAAACACCTCAACTGCAGGGCAAGAATCTTGGACCAGGACCCAGACACCAGATCACTATGGGAACTTGGATCTTCCACTTACCCACAGTCCTTTTGATAGCTTGCCTAGCAAAATAAAGTAAGCAGCCTATAAGGCCTTCTAGCAGGCCTGCAATACCCTAACATGTTCCTCATCAGCTTAAATGATCCTTAATTACTTCCTCCTAGTCACTTAACTTTATTAATTTTATTTTCATCTAAACAGCTTTCAGACTTTTTTTAAAGTATCAAAATGACATTTCAAAGGTCTTACTACACTCATGCAAAATCTAGAGCAATGGATAACAGGCAAAAAAGTGATTTTCTACAATATCACCATTTTTTTCAACAATTTACATGTAGTTGACCCATTAAAGAAAAACTGGACATAAACAGGAATCCAGCTGAGAGTCACTCACTGACCGAGCATTTGAGTGTTTATCAAGTCATTGCTTAAGTCAAGTCACTTGTGTGACTAACTTTTACAGTCACAAGGGACTTCTCCAACACAGGGCCTTTCTCCACCAGACTCAGGCTGCAATTAAGGTACCCACACTTTTCACTTCAAAGCATCTGGCCAAAAACTAAATAAATACAACTTCTGCCACCACCAAATGGCAAGGACAACAGCGACCTGTTGTGTCGGTAAGAGACCAACAAAACAAAAACTACTTTGCCCATCTTTAAAAACCAGTGTCAAAGGAAACAGGCAGTTTGTTGTGTTAAATGTCTTTTTATCAAAAAAAAAAAAAGGAAAAAAAAGTTGGACACGAAAGGGGAGGATTCGAATGAGTCAACAAACCTGTTGCCAATCTATTTGTAAGCAACCCACCAAACATCCTTCTGATGAGTCGGGCTAAATTAAAAATCCTACTTTCATGTGGTTTCAAAGATCACACATGCCTTTGCCTTTATGTGTATATAGTGGCAGCCTTGATTTTTTTTTTTTAAGAAACCAACCAAAACAATATAGAGGGGACACAAAGCTCAGGGACTCATATTTCAGTCTGACAAAATATCCATTAGAAACACTCTGACCTAAACTTTTCCAAACCAATTCATCGTTCACAGAAAACACAATCTAAAGTCACTGGGCCAATGATTCAGTCCAATTGGCACAAAGAAGTGCGTTTCCAAGACTAAACTTTTTCCTTCCAGGTGGAAAGCTACCACGAAAACTCAAAGTCCCCCCAGCCTCTCAACAAACAGTTTTCAATCCCGAAGTTCCTAGCTTTCCAGTGTGAGCTCTCAGGCTGTAGTATGGAGCTGAAATGGCCTTAAACAACTTTTATCTCACTTTTTCCAGACATTAGTAGTTTTACTTTAGAAGTCGTTCTGAAAGAGCACTAAAGTTAAGGCAGAAAACCGCAAGGTCTCCGAATGGGTTTAGAAACCACAAAGAGTCATCCTAAGCCCAAGGGTCCTGCAAGCTCTACCTCAGGTGCAACTTCATTTCCACGAACACTTCGGAGCACGCACGGTGTTTTCTACAAGCCCCAAGCCAGGATGAATGAACTTTAACTTCACCAACTGTTTATTTGCATCCTCACGTGGTACTCGGCGGCCGGGGCAGCGCAAAAGCAGGGAATGGCATGGGGCGCGCCCGGGAACCCCGAAAACTTTTCTTGGCAAACTAGCAGGGACTGTTGGGAGGGCGATCGGCCACCCTGGTCCCCACGCTAAGCTAAAGGGCTTTCCCAGCACCACCACCACCACCCCCCGCCCGCCGCTGCGCGCACACAAAGGAGCGTGGATACAGGGGAGACCCCCGCGCCCACTGGGCGCACCTCCCCCCAAGAAAGAGGCCAGGAAGCATCCCGGGTTACTCACAGGGTGACCGTGCGGTTGGGCAGCGTGTCCGGGGGCAGGACCTGCGCGAGCTCCAGGCTGCTGCACACCACCTTGCCCTCGGCTCCGGCCGCCCTGCCGGTACCCCGGGCCCGACCGTCGTGCTTACAGCCCGCGGGCAGCGCCGCGGCCCGGCGCTCTCCTGCACACAGCAGGGCGAGCAGCGCCAGCGGCAGCAGCAGCGGTGGCTCCATGCCGCTGGCCGGGCCTGCGAGCCGAGCGGCGCCACCGGCCTAGAGGGAGACGGCGGGACCAGGCGGGCCCGGCGGTGGTCCGAGCCTCCCAGCGGCCCGAGGACCCGTCCTGCTCCGCAACGACATGCTCCTTTGTCCGCAGCAGCGCTCGCCCTCCGCGGAGACGCGGGGTCAGGGCCGCCGGGTCGCTGCTCGCTGCTCGGCCCGCGGGAGCACCGCCTCCTCCCGGCCGGCTCCTCCCCACGCGGCCGCTCCTCCCACACCCGCCCTTCGCGCTCCCGGGGCTGCGGGCGACCCGACCCCGACCCGGGCACGCCCCCAGGTCCTGGCCGGAACTCGGCTACTCTTGCACAGGGCGGAAGAAAGTTCTAGACTAGTCCCAATTCCAACCGCTGGACGGCTCTGCTCCACGTTTCTCGGCAGCGCTGCCTCTCAGACAAAGCCGCCCTGTGCGCCCCGAGAGCCTTAGCCCGAGGAGATGAAGTTTCTTCCTCCAACCTGAGGAGGAGAAAGAGCCTGAAACCAATCATTCGGAAGAAAGGCAATGTTGGAAAGTTTCAACTGCCCCATTATCCGCCAGAGCAGGAAACAGGTTTCTTTCCAATAAACTGAACTCCGAGGCTGGCCCTGGCCTGCAGCGGCAGCTGCTATGGGCCAGCTGAGGATATGTGGAACCTTTAGACAGAAATTTGGGAGGCCACAGATCGCTCAGATGTTAACCACTTGGAGCCATGGTGATGAAGCAGCCTAGAAGCCCCAGTTGAATTCATTATTCATGCCTACGACGGCAGACCCCACCCTAACATTTGCAAGACCAAGGTTCATCTACCCTATCTTTAAATTTTATAGACACTATACAAGCCAACAAAATGAGTTTTTTTCTCCCTTGAGAAACAGGCTTCCTTAACAACCAGGAAGAGCAGCTTGGTATGCAGAAATCTCACACACTCAGGAGTTCGACCCTGTAACAGAAAGAGAGCATGGGATCACACAGCTCCAGTCAACAGGAGAGGCATGGCACGTGTGTGCACACCTATACCCACTCTGTCTGATAATTCAGACAGTCACCTTTAGGCTGCCACAGGGACTCAGAAGTGCTTGGTCCTACATTGAGAGAACTAGAGGAAGAGGGTTTCTGTAAGGACCCCTGAAAAATATTGTTTCCAAGGTCACGTCCCAAAAAATATGTTGATTTTCTCAATAGGAAATATCTAAGTGTATTTATTATACACTTCGATAAGTGTGAACAGCATCGGTTAAGACTTCTTGAAGATTGAACTAATACCTAAGCCCAATAGTGTCTAGCATCTACTAATGCTTTCAATGGCGAGAGAACTATCATGGATCTGGAACTTGGCATATCCCTGGGAGGAAAGAAGACTTCAGACCTGGTGGTAACCTTGTGTGACTACATAGACCTAGAAATTTATCTACCATTCTGTAAGTAGTGGGTTTTTGGTTTTGATTTTTGTTTGGTTGGTATTTGTTTTGTTTTTTACTCCTTCATTTTTATTAAACTCAACTTTAAACACTACTTCACGTGTGAACAGCACAGGTCTGAACCTAGAATGGGTAGGAAAAGTAGATTATAAACACAGTTAAATAGTTTTAACTTTATAACTAACTTTAGACACAAACTGGTATTTTCTATTAAAATAAAGTTGGTCATGTTTCTGTAGAACTTATTTGAAGATGATTATTCCCTAACAAAAATGGTATCAACAATGATATCCTCACCTGTTCTCTGCATAAAGATAAAATCTTACCATAGTAATTTGAAAGCTTTTAATTGCCATGTTGCTGTTGATACAACTCTAGGCAGGCCTGTGAACTTAGGCTATATGAAAATTTTGATACTTATCATGGAGGTAAATGTGTGTAATTGTTCTGAGTTGTACTTAGCATAAGCCTTAAATTTGGTGTTATCTTTGTATGTCATTACAGTTGAGAACACTAATGTATGAAATCACCGAGAAAAAAAAGGGGAGGGATGTCACAATTGAGACCATTGAATCAAAAGATAAATATGGAGGAAATGGTTTTATTATATGGATAAGTCACCCCTCTTGCAAAGACATCATTTTAAAAATCACAAAATGGAGCAGGCTTTAGAAATTTATGAAACAGCTTGGCAGTGATGGTACACACCTTTAATCCCAGCACTCAGGAAGCAGAGGCAGGAAGATCTCTGAGTCTGAGGGCACCCTGGTCTACAGAAAAGAAAGAAAAATTTCATAGCACTGTAGATCTTGGAATGTGCAGAGCTCTCTTAATCTTCAGAAGCACCAAGGATTCAAGAAACATTCCTCAGAAATGCACAGATCTCAGAGGATGACATTGTCGGAACTTTACAGTCTCTTGCCCCTCGGTCACACCAAAACCTAAGCTTGAATCAAGCTACTGTCACCCTGACAGCTTCTTGCTAGACAGGTCTAATGACTGCTAATCCCTCCTCAGGCCTCAAGCACATGGTAACATTTGAAATTGTAGGGTTTCATAGGTCCTTCCTGACTTCACACTGTGTAGAAAGTCCTATAGAAACTGAGAGTGTTTATGCAGTAGCTAATGGAAGCAGAAACAGACACCCACAGATAAACACTGAACTGAACTCCTGGAATCCAGCTGCAGAGAGGAAGGAGTGATGAGCAAACGGGTCAAGACCAGACTGATGAAACCCACAGAAACAGCTGACCTGAACAAGGGGGAACTCATGGATCCCAGACTGATAGCTAGGAAACCAGTGTAGTACTGATCCAGAAACCCTGAATGTGGGACCTCTGTTAGTATTTATCCCTAGTACACAAATGGACTTTGGGAGCCCATTCCACAGAGAGGGATACTCTCTCAGCCTAGATACATGGGGGTCTGGGGGAAGCCCTGCTCCAAATGATATGACAGACTTGAAGATCCCCCATGGAAGGCCTCATCCTTCCTGGGAAGCAAAAAGGGGATGGGATAGGGGGTCCATGGGGGCCAGGGGAGGAGAAGAGGGACAGGGAACTGGGAGGGAGATTGACATGTAAAGCAAGCTTGTTTCTAATTTAAATTAAAAAATAGAAAAAAAGAAACTGAGTTATTGCTTATTAACCATACAGGTACACACAGTCCAGTATCACATCAACTATTGCTTCAAGGATGTTATATGGACCACAGTCCAACACTTTGTCTTGAGAATTTTGTCTTGTAAGGTTTGTAAGAGATATCAAAGATGCTTTATTCTTGATTTTAAAAAAACAGACTATTAACTGTGTATGTCTGCATGAATAAGTGTAGTAAAACTGTTTTAATATACGTGTCCACAAATAATGTGTCTATCCTAAACTATTACTAACAATTTCATTTACATATCTGCCTTCTCTACCATATTATGAGCTTCTAGAAGCTTTTCTTAATCCCCTTTTTCTGTCATTTCTGTCCACTTCTTTATGTGCCTGTGAAATCTGGATTATTTACATCAAGTCTAGATGATTCTGGTGATTTATCTAAACTTGGAACATAGTTTCCTCTGTTTATTTCACATTTGTATATGTTACCTCTCCCCTATTACAGTTTAAGGCTCCATGACTCTCCCTGTTTATTTCCTGTGGCTTTAGAGACAGGTTGCTGCCAAAAAGCCATTCTCAAACTCTTCAGGCAAATCACTTATCCAGGCATCTTTACTACAATTGATGTCATGTGGCCTACCAGAAGGAATCAATAATTATGCTGTTCAATATGGTATATAAATGTTTCCATAAATGTAAACTAAAACTTTGACAAGTTTTTTGTTTGGTTTGGTTTGGTTTGGTTTGGTTTTTCGAGACAGGGTTTCTCTTTATTGTTTTGGAGGCTGTCCTGGAACTCACTCTGTAGACCAGGCTGGCCTCGAACTCACAGAGATCCACCTGCCTCTGCCTCCCAAGTGCTGGGATTAAAGGCATGAGCCACCAACGCCCAGCCTTTGACAAGATTTTTAATCAAAAATTCTATTACTTAGTCCCTCAGGTTAGTGCTTCCTAACCACTCATAACTGATGAATACCATTGTGGACTGTGCATACTTTACAGTAGTTCCAAAAACTTCTATGTGTTTCTGTTTAAAAAGAGGCTAGTGGCTGGAGATATGACTCATGGGTTAAGAACATTGGCTGCTATTACAGAGGACAGTGTTCAGATTCCCAGCAACCACATGGAGGCTTACAACCTCATGTAATTCCAATCACAGGAGATCCAATGCCCTCTTCTGGCCTCCACAGGCACTGCATGCTTGTAAACAGTGCAGGCAAAGTACCCACACACATAATAAATAAATAAATGAATTAATACACTTAAAAATAAAATACAAAATTTTGGAAGGCTAATAAGAGGTCTCAGAATATCCCCTGTATCTGTGTGTTAGGTGGTGAGGGAGGAAAGGAGAGAAAAGGATTCTAATAATCCAACCCTTTCTCCCACAACTTCCGTTGTCCCGCTTCTGGCCATGGTCTTACAAGAACGTGCTACCTAGAGATGAAACATGTGTGTTATGATCAGAAGGCAAAAGCCTCAAGGAAAACTTCCAAGTCACAGAAGGATATTGAAGGATAGAAATCACTGAGCTCACTGAGACCGTGGCTGAACTGTCAATCAAGCCTCTGCACATCTTACCCTCAATGGTGAGTGTCCTCTAGTTTACATCAGCATTGTTATAACATTCTACCACCTAGGGCATTCCTGGCACAAAGAGGGAACTCAAAAGCATTTGTTAATACGCATCATCTAAATTTTATTCATTTTTATGTTTCTCATATCTGCTGCTATCACTCAACCATGTTGGCCTGAGAATAAGTTTGGTCGACTTAAGCGTTTTGGATGGTCAGGTATAAATTCTTAACTAATGTCAACTAATGTGAAATGGCTGAAGTTCATTCTTCTAGGATCAGATAGAAATGTGTAATGTTGTGATCAAATTTACAGCAGGAAAGGAAAGGATAGCAATTGTTAGCACTTGAAACCTCTTGGTAACACCTTTAGTAAGCCTCACTGATAAACAGACATTCTCAGTTTGTTTTTGTGTTCTTGAGTTAATCTATTAATTGTGACAGCTGTGGTTTGTATTTTTAGTATTTTCATGGCATGTGCTAGAGTGTCTGCTTGGTGATTACCCAGGACCCAGACGGATCAGCAGCACTAGCTCAGATATCCTGCCAGCCTCCTAGACTGCTTTGGCCCCTGCTCTGGCTCACCCGTTATGAGATACAGTGACCTTCAGCAAGTCACTATCCCTCACCTTTTGAAATGAGTGCTTAAACTGGCACAGAGTTTAAAATCTGATTTGTGTCCTGATGAACCATGAATTCATTCATTGTTTGTGTGTGACAATCAAACTATTATTGGGATGCATCTTTGTGACAGCAAAATACTCTGTTTAAGTGACCAAACCTTTTCCTGAAATGATATTTTTGTTACCTACTCCAGTGTAATTATTATCAGTTATAAATACAAAGCAGAAATATGAAGGAAAATTTACCCAGCCCCACCATGTGAACAGCAGCTGCCAAGTGTTTTTATGGCCAGATAGGCTAGCACAGATTCATGGACCAAAAAGGCTCAGTATATGCTCATATCACATGGTTGCTTCATATTTAAGAGCAAAGAACATGTGATGAGATGGTTCCACAGTGTCTTAGTTAGGGTGTTATTGCTGTGAAGAGACACCATGACTGTAACAACTCTTATGAAGAAAACATTAAATGGGGCTGTCCTTCTGTATGCTGTGAATATGTGTTTCTCTTGTTGGTTGATGAATAAATGCTGATTGGCCAGTAGCCAAGCAAAAAGTATAGATCAGAGCCGGGCGTTGGTGACACATGCCTTTAATCCCGGCACTCAGCAGGCAGAGGCATCTCTGTGAGTTCGATACCAGCCTGGTCTACAAGAGCTAGTTCCAGGACAGCCTCCAAAGCCACAGAGAAACCCTCTCTCCAAAAACAAAACAAAACACACAAAAAAAAAAACAAAGACCCTGTGTGTTTATTTGGGACTAAACAGCTGCAAACCCGGTGGGACAGAAACTCCGTCTACAGGCTGGCTTACAGAGTCAGAGGTTTAGTCCATTATCCTCATGGTGGGAAACAAAACTGTGAGCGGGCAGACATGGTGCAGGAAAAGGAGCTGAGAGTGCTACAATTTGATTCACAGCTAACAGGAAGTGAACTGAGGCACACTCCAACGCCACCACACCTATTCCAACAAGGCCACACCTCCTAATGTGCCACTCCCTGAGTCTATGAGAATCATTTCTAGTCAACCCCCACAAGCAGTTAAGAGCACTTTGCTACTCTTCCAAAGGAGTAGAGTTCAGTTGCCAGAACAGATATCAGGCCGCACAGGTCTTCTTAGACTTTAGTCTGTGGGATGTGCCATGTTCTTCTGGATTCTGCAAGCATCTGCATGCACATGGGCTGTGTAACAACCTCTTTGTACACTGAAATACGTATCACTCTCTTTGATTAAGATCTGACTGGCCAATGGCTAGGCATGATTTTCAGGGCAGAGAGAATGCTGGGAAGAAGAAGGTGGAATCTCAGGAGTTGTGAGGAGACGCAGAAGAGGAGATGGACATGCTGTACTGAGATAAGGTACCAAGCCACACAGATACCAAGATAAGGTACCAAGAACATAGATAAAAATATGGATTAATTTTAGTTGTAGGACTTAGTTAGTAACAAGCCTAAGCTATCTGTTGAGCATTTGTAATTAATATTAAGTCTCTGTGTGGTTATTTGGGAGCAGCTGGCAGGACAGAACTGACCCATGGCCCTGAGGAAAAACTCTGCCTACTCATGTGTATGTCTATATACATATTACATACATGCACACACACACACACACTTACATGAGATAAATTAAAAAAGAACAAAGAATTGGAAAAAGCTATGACACAAATTGATCAAGGATCACTACCTCAGTATTGAGTTGCAGTATCATAGGCACTGTCTGGATTAACTCACATGTTTTTACCTCTGTCTTTGAACGCAGACACATCAACGTCCCCCACTGATGAGCCTGATTTTAAGGCTCAGATCTGAGATCAGAAATCGAAGTGAGCTGACAGATATGAGATGCGAGGGACCACTTGCTGTACTGGACAGATGGAAGCAGCGATTGTTGACCATAGTTACACCCCGCCAAGTAACCCAGTAAAGGGCTGTAGATTGTGCATATGCTTTTTGGACACAGCTCGCATGAAGCCAGATTAGATTAGAGTAGATTGATTAGAAGTCGATAATCAGGTGGATTTTCAAGCCAATAAGTACTGAGTGCTTCAAACACCCTATTCAGTAAACCATGAATAGTGGGCATCTCCTGGACCTTTCCATTCCTTTTTGTGTATAAATACTTTTCTCATACATTCCATCACCTTTATCTGCTTACCGCATCTGCTCTATTTACTTTCCCGTGTCTGCCAAGTATCACATCTCTTTGCTTATAGACTTAATATTTTCCCCCTCTCCTGTCTCCCACATTTTTCTTTTCTAGAACAGAATTAAATATCCTCAACTATTATTGAAAATGCCTAACAGAGAGTACAACATCTATGGGAAAATTTAGAAGTATAGTCCACTACAGAAATATAATGGCTTTTCCAAAACAATTTTTCTTGCATGTCTTTTTCGCAAATATATCACAAACTGTCCTGCATTGCCTATCTACATGTAGCTTTAGCCCTACATACAAAATCATAGTGTTTAACATCAATCAGCAGACTAATAACTATTAATGGAAGGATCAGTAGCAGACTTACCAATAATGAAATGCCCACCTAAATATTTCTTTTCAATTATAGCTTCCTCAGGATCAGTTGATATGATCAAAATCCATTTGTTGAGCTGAGCAGAATGAGACAGTATGTTTGAAAGTACTCTTTTGTCAACAAAGTAATTATCACTTTGATTTCGCCTCTGATCCAGAATATTAACCACTAAGCATCCTGTCTTTTGGAATACACACCACAATTTGTTTGGCTATTGAGCTGGAGATCAAACCCAGGGTTTTCTTTGTGCATGCTACACAAATCCTTAATCAATGAACTACAGATGTGTCCTAGTTTTTCCTATGTTCTTGTATCACTTAGAGACCTCAAACAAACATTACTAAATCTCAAAAAGATTGTATAAATTAGCGACTCTTCAGAACATAAAAATTTAGGTGTATTATTTCAAACATGACACAAAATGTCTTTAATAAGTCTATATGCTAATATTCCACTAGCCTATATGTTAATACATTTAAATGCATTTTTATTTAAATATGTGTTTTTATGCAAATCCAGAACTGTTAAAATATACAAGAACTATAAAAGTACACAGAACACTGATTTTGAGTTTGGGAATCAGATTACTATATTGACTGGATTCTTAGCTGGGTTACTGTAAATAAATTGTGTAATTTGGAAACAAGTTTTCTTCTTATGTTGTGAGGACTGCTTTAAATTGAACTTAATCTAACTGAGAGCACATGACTTGTCCCCAGTGGATAGCTCAAAAGTAAGCAGAATTGGAATCTTCCCCTTCCTCATATTCCAGATGAAGAAGCTAAGCCTACAGAAATTAAATGATTATGCCTAAGATTCTTGTTTCTTGAAAAGCCTGAAGAAGATATCTGGGAAAACTTTACCGCTGTGATTTTTCTCCCTCTAAACCTATAATCAGACTTTGTTTTACACATGGTTGAACATTGACTTACAACGAACGCTTACTAAATGTTTGTGCCACTTAAGGATAATGGCAACTCCTGCCTTTTGGTCACAGCAGAAAGGTAAAGTAATGCATGGATGAAATCACTGGGAAAATCTCTATGTAATGATAGCATGTCATCATTACAAACTATGAAAATATTTTATCTTTAATAATACTATAATTACACATATCAACTCATTTCATCATTCCCTAACTCCTATGAAATAATTACCCTGCACAGTATTATACTATCCTTCCACTAACAAAGCAAAGTAGAGAATTGAGACAATCAGAAGGAAGATTTCCTTTAATCCCAGCACTCGGGAGGCAGAGGCAGGCGGATCTCTGTAAGTTCGAGGCCAGCCTGGTCTACAGAGCTACTTCCAGGACAGCCTCCAAAACAATACAGAGAAACCCTGTCTCGAAAAACCAAAAAAAACCCACAAAAAACAAAAAAACAAAAGGAAGATTTCAGAGGAAGTGAGTCAATGTGCTGTATAATATTCCTTTACACTGTGTGAATATATGTTGCTGTGATTTGTTTAACAAACAAGCTGATAGGTCAGTAGCTGAACAGGATACAGTTAGGTAGGAAAACTAAACTAAGAATGATGGGATGAGGAAGGGGGGAGTCAGAGGAGTCACCAGCAGACACAGAGGAAGCAAGAGATGAATGTGCCATGTAAGAGCTAGTTAGTAATAAGTCTGAGCTATTGACCGAGCATTTACAATTAAGCCTCAGAGTGATTTTTGGGAGCAGGGGGCCGGATAGGAATCATCTGTTTATACCCATGATCTCCACATTTGCAGTTCTATTTGTGCAGTTCATTACTTTGTTTGCCCCATCAGTTTGGAAGAAACTGCCCATCACTACATGGATTAATACACATACACGCTAAGTTTGGTTTGGTAACTGAGATGCTTTGAATATACAGTGCGTGATGGGAAAATCTACATCATTTATTAATTTATTATTGGCTTTGAATAGTGGTGGCATTCCAAAAGTGGCTTTATTAGTTATTTTTCTGTTGCAGTGCCAAAAAGCCCCGACAAAAGCAACTTAAAGAAAAAAGAGTTTCTCCTGATTCACAGTTCCAGAGGGATGGAGTCCGTCGTGGTAGAAAAGACATGGCGACCGTCAGGGAAAGCATGGTGACCGGAGCAGGGGCTGACTGATCATGTCTCCATCCACACAGAAGAAGCAGAAAGAGAGAGAACAGGAAGTGAGAAAAGGCTACAAACTCACAAAGCCCACCTCTGAGTCCCATAACCTCAGCAAACAGCTCCATCAACTGGAGATCAAGTGTTCAAATACATGAGCCACTTGGGAACATTTCTCATTCAAACCAAGGTGGTCCATAAGAACTTTCTGAATGATGAATAGATGAATGGTTAAACAGAGAATGAGTATTTCTCCACTCATTAACATGTCGTTTCATAGCTACCAAATATCCACAATTAAATATGTCCCCGATAACTTACACAACATTTTTGTGTGATGAACTGGACCCTCAGCTCAGTTGAGTGTGCCTTGAAACTTGTCACACTTCTTGAAATGCTTTGACTGTCAGATGCTGCTGCTGCTAGATAAAATGATAAAACCGAAGCAGTCTGACTCCGTAGCCAGCCCCAATCAGGAAAATTACTCATGTAGTTGAAAGCTGTTTGGCAGTAAAAGCCCTGTATATTAAATTCTAAATCCACTTAATTAACTTCTCTAATCTTCATTAAATAAAGCTCAGTCCACTTTGATGGAAATATGTAATAAAAACAAGCTCGCTGGCAACTCATCCGATAATGTGTTAAGTCTTGAGCGCCTTCTGCCTAGGGCTCTGTCCAGCACTCTGACTCATCTGTCTCTACCTTAGCCCGCTTCTTTCGTCAGCTGGGAAGAACTTCTGCCTTTATTGTTGTTTTCTTTGCATAGCCAAACCTTCCATTCTCCACTGGAGCACAACCCTGAAAGGAAGGGAGGTGACATCAGAGTCCTCACTATAACAAATCTAAACACTATCAAAACTTTTCCAATATCAACTGAAGCAATTTCAATAAAAGCAACACAAACATAACTTCCAACTAGTTCAAACTCGAAAAGAAAGATATTGGTCCGTGTCAATAGGAATGCTGCTTCAGGCATAGCTGAATCCAGAATAGTTTGAACAATGCTTTCTTCTATTTCTTAGTTTAGTGTTAACTTTGTTCTCAAGCAAGAGACTTGCGCACCTGTAAAGGGGCAGCCATTTCCCCACACAGTATCCTCCCATTGTAAAACCCCCTCACAAGATAAAATAAAAACAAAGCAGAAATGCACATCCCAGCACACTGATAAGTGTTAGGATTGGTCAGTCTTGAGGTACAGATGCCTGAAGAGGGAAGGTGGAGAACGGACTAAATCTACCCTTGCTGCAAAGGGCAGGCTGGAGGGAGAAAAGGTTCTCACTGATGGTGAAAGAAAACAAAGCAAAGCTGTATGCCACCCTGCTCTCATTCCTATTACCTTGTATATGGCATAGACAAAACAACAAACTCAAAATAGTTAAATCTGGATGACGAAGATATAGGTGAGCTTTATGTTTTAAAAAAATGTTATTTGTTTTTTTAAATGTATATAAACTATGACTATTATTTTAACTTCATTTCTTTTGTTGGACTAATGATCATTTTTTTCCAGAGTCTATCATTCTTTCTAAGAGTGCTAAGAGGGCTGGAATGTTCAGCAGCAGAGTATTAGCCTAGCATATGCAATGCTCTCCATTCAGTCCTCAGCTGAGTGCTGAGAACCAATTAAATGAAGAAAAAGCTTGACTGCTGCTTCGTGGTGTGATGTCACTCAGGGAGAATAAAGAAGCAGGTTAGCCGTTGCTGCCATGAGAGTTTTAAATTCCTTCAGCGGTGGATAACGATCATCTAAACGTCACTGTTTATAATTGCTCATGTCTTTCCTCCTGGTTTCTCTCCTCCAAAGCAGAGACCAAAACTCACAAATATAAAAATAAGAGTTTAACATATTAAAAAGTATGTCTGCATATGCATTTATAACCACATACCTTTTTGTGTATATAAGTATACATTATAGTGCAGTAAGACACACCTTGATACATTTGATCTGTCGAAAATTTTAAATCAGCGAAGGAAATCAAAAGATAAATTGACATTTTAAAAATGCAATATATACAATAATTATTTTTTAATATGTAAGAAAATATATTTCTAGCTAAAAGATGACTCAGAGATTAAAAGCACTGGCTACTCTTCAGAAGACCCAGGTTCAATCCCCAGCACCCATGTTGCAGCTCACAACTGTCTATAATTCTAGTATGGGGGGGGGGAGCTGATGCCCTCTTCTTGCCTCTGAAGGTACCTGGTAAACAATGGTGCACAGACACATACATGCAGACAAACACCCATACACATTAAGAAAAAAACAAAACAAGTTTTTATTAAGAAATTATTTATTTGTTGAACAACATGAAGCATTACTATCTAGCTAAGAGAACAATAGAAATGGTTTTTATAATATGAAAAATCCTTAGCCCCACCAAATAATTAAATAAATATAAGCAATCATATCAACTCACCATCAAAAACAGTTTTTACCCAGCAAACTGGAAACAAGTGAAAGATAACACGATAACACGTAGCAGCCTTCAACAATAGGGAAATAAACATCATCCTGCTTAGCTAGAGGCCACACAAAGAGGTGAGCCTATTTCTTTGGCACTAGCTTCCAAAAAGGTACAGAAAATGCTTTTTTTTATTTTGTTTTTTGGTTTTTGTTTTTGTTTTTGTTTTCGATACAGGGTTTCTCTGTATTGTTTTCGAGGCTGTCAGTCCAGCCCAGCCTCAAACTCACAGCAATCCACCTGCTTCTGCCTCCCGAGTGCTGGGATTAAAGGCGTGCGCCACCACCGCCTGGCTGTTTTGTTCTGTTTTTGAGACAGGGTTTCTCTGTGTCACAACTCCGACTGTACTAGAACTCACTTTGTAGACCAGGCTGTTCTCGAACTCACAGAGCTCCACCTGCCTCTGCCTCCAAGTGCTGGAATTAAAGGCATCTGCCTACTCCTCCTCGTTCAGAAAATACTATTGATACAGAAATGCTATTATTAGGACTTTTTTTTTCCTTTAGAACCTTACCTACATGTGAAGAGAGAGGACACATGGAACATTGATTGTTACATTTTGTTTGTCATGATAAAATCTTGAAAGAGCAGCCATGATCATTGTCTTAGTCTAACTGGGGACTTGCTTGCAGTTTTGGAGGAGGAGTAGGGTCCAGTGAGCATCATAGTGGAAGCATGGTGGCAGGCAAGCAGTCATGGTGCTAGAGCAGGAGCTGAGAGCTCACATGTTGAGACAACTACAAGGCAGAGAGACAGAAAGCTAACTGGGAATGGAGTGGACTCTTGAACCCTCAATGCCCACCCCCAGCCCCAAGTGATACACCTCTTCTAACAAGGCCACGCCTCTGAAAACTCTTCAAACAATTTACCAACTGTGGAATAATTGTTCAAACATATGATCCTCTGGGAGTAATTCTCATTAAAAAACAAACGAACACAATAGTTAAGACTTAAAAGTAGTTAGATGGAGCATACATGGAGGGCAATGGATATCTAAGAAAGAGAGTGTGAAGATCTATGCATCCTGTGATGATTCCATTCCTATGAATGTCTTTGCGTCTGTATGTATTTGTACTGTGTGTGCATGGAGATTCCTGGAATCTCCTGGAATATTGAGCTGGGCAGTGGTGGTGTTGCATGCCTTTAGTCCCAGTACTGGGGAGGCAGAGGCAGGCAGATCTCTGTGAGTTTGATTTCAGGCTGGTCTACAGAGTGAGTTTCAGGACAGCCAGGTATGTTACATAGAGAAACACTGTACTCCCCCCAAAAAGACAATATTGATAATGAATTCTTCATGTCTGGGTAAAGGGTCAAAGATCTGGAAATGACTTTCATTATGTTACACACACTTGTATTAAACTATTTGAGTCTTTTAAAAAATCTTTATGTTTACCTTTTAAAGGAAGATAGATTGATTCTACTTTTTAATCAAAAGACATATTGATTTAAAAATTGACAAAGCACAAACAATCGTGAGTACAGTTTTCAATTTTCTGGCACCAATAGACAGCAAATGATCCCAGAGAATGTTCTGTTTCAGGATCCCCTTGAAGGAATCCTCTGCATTGTGCAGGAACTATAAATATAAGCAAAGAAGGTAACCATAGCATTATGGGAGTCTGTTGTTTTCTGGTTTTGTTTTTATTTTGTTTTACTGTCAATCAGGTGTAACTGGGTGAAACTGTAAGTCTGTGTGGGGTCAGAGAGGATTCTCAGAAGTAAAAGGCCACTCTGAAGGCCAAGGCCCTTCTGAGGCTTTATATCTCTGATGACTTCATTTGTCTTCAGGTCACTCTATTGGAAGTAAGAGACATTTTAAATTAAACCGAAGAAAAGGGAACAGCTTGTGGAAGTTTCCTGCAACTGAAAATAAACTAGAACATGCTGCTTCCTCTGAGTCCTGACATCTCCTCACAACTCCGCCCTTCTTTCCAGCATCCTCTGTGTCTGACTGTCCCATCTATACCTCCTGCCTATCTATTGGCCATACAGCTTTTTGTTAAACTAATAAGAAGGTACCTTGGCAAAGACACATCTTCACAGTGTACAAAAAGATTATTCCACAACACATAAGAACCTGGATCCTTTTCCAACAAATACATATACACACATGCACATCTGCACATATGAATATATACAGGCACACACCATACACGTAGTCTATGTATACACATGTATATGCACATGCAATACAGTATACACATGTGTGCACATGTACACATATGAATACACACATGTAGACACATATACTATATATACATATATACCATTTACCACACACATACACTACACACTAATGTGCACATACACTCATATGAATACACACACATACTACATACACAGGCACCATGTGCACACATGTACACATACATACACTACACATGCACACACATATGCTATATAAGCACACAAGTACCATGTACACACACACACATGTACACACACACACACACATACCCATATTGTAACAGCACTTGGAAGTCATTGAAAACTATAAACAAGAAAATTTACATGCTATATGCTTCTTTGGATGCAGGAGTTAGATTATAGGGGGAAAGGGAACAGTACAAGGGTGGATTTTAGGAGTGATTAGAAACTTGTAGCTACAGATCAGAAATTTATACAACCTAAAGTAGGATAGTAGGGATGAAGATGAGAAAAAATATATTCCTGAATCCTGTAATATTTCAGAAAACCACAGGGTCTTTTTGTGGTTGAGTGGGTGGAACAGTGGAACAAGAAGACATTTGGTGTCTTGATTTTCCTAGTGATTGATGATGACATTCTCTTAGAAAAGACCCCTGGAGGAAGACCAGTTTTCATAGGAGGATTATGTCAGGACATGCTGAACCTCAAATTCATTTTCAAACCAGTGGCTATACTTACAAGGCAAGCAGGATGAGGAGTCTGAGGTTTTCAGCACAAGCTGGAGAAGTATTTGTCCTTTTAAACTGGGGGAACAAAACTTTTATTTGAAGCCACAGGTATAGATGGGGTTTCCAAGCAGAAAATTTCAAAGAGAAAGCAAAATCGAGTGGCTAGTTTCTACTCTGCACTTTAAACTATTGGAAGAGGAGAAGGGGGAATCAGAGAAGGATTTGGCAGAAAAGAAAGGAGAGAAAAATGGAGAAAGCCCAAGTGTAGCATTTCGAAGTTGATGATGTGACAGGGGTTGAAGATTAATCCCTGTGGTCATCTGATTTTTGCCCACTTTTACATAACTAATTAGATCCCTTTGTGACAAATAAGATTCAAAATAACCTTTGTTTATCAGAGACAAAAGTACGTTTTAAATTAACCATTCTTAAATTGCCTTTAGGAGGAGCCAAACACCAGTTTAAACTGCAAAGGAACTGTTGAGATCAGTCTGTCTTCCACTATGGTTTACTCCAGTACTGTATAAAATAAAGTGGGTTTTCCAGCTGTGCACTGCTCTAGGAGACCACATGTTACAAGCAGCTTATGACTCCATTTCAGAGAAGAGAATGACTATAGGCCCTAGGTGGGCCCTGATACTTCACTCTGGGCCAGGCACCACCTCTCCAGCACAGGCTGATAAATGACATATTCCTGGAAGGAGACCAGGAGCCACCCAATAAGTTTATTGGAGTGAGTTAAGACTTTGGGCACACATGGGCATATTATAACCACTTCAGGGAAAACAGTCCAAGGGCTTATCAGACACACCAGGTAGAGGAAAGGTTGTAATGCCATAAAGTGATGAACACCTAAAACTGAAATCACATGGCCTCATGCCAACTTATCATCAGGTGCCCGGTGTGGGCCTCAGAGACCAAGAACTCCGCAACTCATTTTGGTCCTCTGCCATTAAAGCAGCATAGTCAACCATCTGCCATTCTGGACCTGAATCTGACCTGACCCCTGTTTCCTGCTCTGGTCTTTAACCTCCCCACTGAACTCTGCAACTTCACTCTCAACCCATCTCCAACTACTCCAGCAGCAACTCCCTCACTGCACTGGTTGGTTCTTCATTTTCTAATCAGTCCAGACAC